TTATCTCATATACCTGTTTTAATATTATATATATTATTTTAATTAAATGATTGATTAAATAATATTAAATTTTTTAAATAATAATTCACACTAAAAAGATATTTTTTATTATACATATTAGAAGAGCACTCGAACTTTTTTCGGAGGGCAAAACATAGGTACCGCTGACAACTACCATGCGGAATAATAGCCATCTGAATATCTTATGCAGACCCATCCTGATCCAGGACAAGAGTCAAAATTCACCTACTCATTTCACCCACCGTTCCAATTTGGGATGTCCAATAATAGTTTTTGGGAGATCAATAGGAAGGTTGCGAATCAAAATATTAAGAATGATTAAAAATTTTTCAAATATTTTTAACAAATTAAGATGGTAAAAAAATTTATCAAAGACATTTAAATAATTTTATTTATATTTTTTAATGACTTAATTTTTATTTTTTAAAATAAATAAAATTAAAAAAAAAAAAAGAATAAATTTGAACCCAAAAAAAAATTAATATTCTAACATTAATTATGAGAGTTTGTAAAATAATTAATCAAAATCAAACTAAACTTGAGTTAAATTTTCTGAACATAAATTCATAACCTTCTATCATCTTATTCATAGTTCTCTAATTCTCTTACCTGAGTATCATTGATTCCTTCCCTTGTAATTCCTTCTGGGACACTTTCACTATAACAGAATTATCAAGTAACGATGACTATTAATAACAGTGGCAACTAGGACTTAGCAGAAGCCTAACATTCCTTAAAATTAGTAAAATTGGAGTGAAATTTGTTATATCATAATTTTAGAGTAGATGTTTAATTTGAGATCTCAGTTTGTTTCTACTAACATATTTAATAATTTAATTTTCAACTCCTCAACATCAAAAACCAATGGAGTTTGGTCCCCATTTTTCTATCTCGATTCCCCATTATCGGTTTGGTTTCAGAAAACTTTAAATTAAATTGAATTTTTTTTCCATTTTTGTATTATTGTACCCTCACTCTTGGGCATTGCCTGCTACCGTTTGTAATGTGGGCTTGAGTAAGTTGGCCCAGCACTAAGCTTTTATTTTTTTGTTGGATTTAAGGTTATAATATGTTTTGATTTCTTATTTTAGTTTTGATATTTTTTTGGTAAATGGATAGGATGTGGTTTTTAATAGAATTTATATAATTTTTACTTTTTTTACAAAAAGAAGGATTTGAATGCATGATATATGAAGCTTTTGGACTTGATTGAATATTCTTTAAAAGTTGAGGGACTGTATTGGGAGAAGAAAAGTAGTTTTCAGGAATCTAAGTGAATGAATATGAAGTTATAGGACTAAATTTCATTATATAGAAACAGGAGGACCAAATTGATATTTTATCATTAAAAAATTTCAAAGAGATCCAAAAACCTGACACGGGTTTGGTGTCGGGGCCATCTGCTACGTGTGGAGACTATGCCTCAAGCCTTCGGAAAATACGTGAGTGTAGGATGAAATAAAAAAGAGTGCCGATACCCACGATGTAGTGTTGACACACAAAGCAATTTTAGAGGTGGGGTTATTCCTACATGTTAAGTTGTTAATATTATATTTTTTTATAATAATTATCTATTATATTTTTATATTATATATTATCGTAAGAGTTTATATTTTTTGTTTTTTAATAAATTAAAAAATATAATACTTAATTAAAAATATAATAATCAATTAAAATAAAAAATATAATATTAATAATTGAAAGTACGACAATAATATTGTCCTATTTTTAACTTTGAAAAATTTTCATTTTTATTGCAAGTCCAAGCTTTCCTAATGGGATTTTCTTAAATTTTATAAGATATTCAGTTAAATCAGATTTGAGAGATTTTGCAAATCTCAAGAATGAGATAACAATGAAAATTTTAATATAAATAAATTAAAATTTGAAATTTTATATCATTAAATTAATTTTATTTGTATTTAAACTTTATTTTTTAATGTTAAATA